CTTGACCACTTGAAGAGGGTCATCGTTTGACCGGCAAGGGATGGTTTTCGACGGTCAGCCGTCGTCGCCGGCCACATGCCAGTCAAAGACGACGACGAATCGCGTACGACAGGCATCGCTGTCCGCTTTTTCGCTGCCCTCCACGTTGGAAGACGGCCTTTTTACGACATCGATCAGATAACTCCGTCGGTTGAGAGCTGCTCTTCAGATAACTAGAGCTCTCACGTCTTCAGGCGCGCCGGTCGCTGAAGAAGGTCATATACAGTTCAGTGATCCAGCGGTAGACACTGCTCGTGTAAAACTGTCTCTTTCAACCTCCGGCCTCGTCTGTCGCTCGCCACCTAGTCAACAGGCCACGTCATCGCTGTGGTGATCTTCAGCCGGTGGCGATTCCAACCATGGAGTCGAAACATAATCACAGTAGCGACTTCGTGTGTCCCCCTGAAGGACTACTGCTGCCGATCTTCGACGAAAGTGGTTGGAAGACCGGCACTCGAACGATCCTCTACTTCCTCGGACTGATGTACTCGTTCATCGGCATCGCGCTCGTCTCCAACGTGTTCATTAGTTCGATCGAGCGGATTGCTTTCGCTACCAAGAAGGTACCGATCAAAGACCGCGCCCATTCGTCTGCTATGCAGTATATCGAGAAGCCGATTTGGAACCCGACCGTCGCAAACCTGACCGTCATGGCTTTAGGCACTAGTGCTCCCGAAATTTTACTATCCGTCATTGAGATGATCGGTAAGTAGTCTAGCTCTCCTCAAATTTAAAGATCTCGAAAGCATTCTTTAAGTTTTTTCACCATGAATCATCACAACGTACAAAATCAGAAAGAAAAAGAATTCGAAATTTTCCATCAACATGTCGCTTTCTATATAACAACCAAATGGTAGTCACTAACGTTGAGAACTTCGAAACTATATGATTTCTGTTTTCTATTAATCAATGTGCTTTTGGTGAGGAACGATCAGATTTTATAAGGTGATCATTGTGGTCTTCGTCATCGCTGATACGAAAACAATATTCTTAACGACTTGTTGGTAAGAGATCAAAAATCCAACGATTTTCAGCTTTCGTTATTTGAGCGTTACTTAAATGCGCTATTGATAAATTTGGCAGTCAAAGACATTCATCATTTTCCTACTTCTGGCCGCTTACCATGGAGTTTTCTACAACAGTCAAATAAC